GAATCGGGAATTAACCGCGTCGTAAAGAACGGATCATGTAGATCGCTAAAAAACGTAGGAGATCGATCCGTCGAGAATACAACACGAGACGTATCGCGAAAATATCGATGTAAAACTTGCAGAGCGAATTATTTTTCACGCATGTTTATTTTAATAAAAACTTTCTTCGATTTCTTTCTTCAATCGCGGCCGAGGAGAATCGCTGCTCGCGTAAATGTGTTCTCCCATTTTTTTTCCTGTGTCAGGAACATCCACAGATTTTCCCGCTGTATTTATTATACATAATAGAGCGATATTTGCTCGTGTGCTCGGCGTGCATGCGCTTCTGCGGCGCCGATCCTGAGCGCGAGAGCTGAGCCGCGTGTCGCACGCTTTCATCGATCCGCCGGGATGCATCTGATTTAATAAACGATCTCGCGATTTCACGACGCAATTTCGCGGCACAAAAGGGTGCGAATCGCCACGCGATTATGACGGACGCGAGGCTTTTCCGCGCGGCTTAACCCGCTAATCGCGGTAGATCCTCTCGTTCTCGATAACGTCGTCGGCGAACGGAGTATACGAGAAGTTAACGAGAGTCCGCGCTCGCGCGAAATACTCCTGAATGCATGGTTTTGATCTGGGCTTCTCTTTGGAAGTCCGAGAACGGTTAATTCCAGCAACGATCTCCTCGCCGACGTGAAAAATCGTTTACCCGGCGAGATAATGAGATTCCAAGCGCGTAGGATCGCAACTCGCTCGCGCGTGTCCGCTCTCGTGGAAACGAAAGCGTTTTGAGAGACAATCGAGCGCCGTTGAGCGCGATTCGTTAACCAGTTAATGTACCATGCCGAGTCCAGATAAATCATTTATGGAAGCGGCCGCGGCCACGTCCGCGCTCTACCGAGGTCCTCCTCGTATATCCGGTAAAAGTTTCGACGCGCGCTCATCCGTTTCTTTTTTCTAACTCTCGGGAATTTGCCACGCCGAGAGGCTTCGACGAGAACTCGTCGCGCCACAACGTCCGGACGCTTCGTACCCTCGAAATGAGAGACGATGAATGAAAAACCGAATAAATCTCGGCCGAGAGAGAAAGAGAGGCTCCTCTCGGCCGAGATTTAGGCAGACGACGATTTTGCTTCCTTCTTTTACTCTCGCGACGTCGTTGTCTTGCCCCCGCGGAGGGACAAGTCGCGGGCGCGCGATGACAAAGGTATACGATCGGAGAAAGGGAGGAGAGAGAAAAAAAAGCGCTCGCGTTCTGTCATTCAATGCAAAACAGGTGATTCACCGGTCGGCCGTGTCGCATTCGCCGCGGATGAGACACGGGGACACTTTTTTTAAACTAATAATTCATCTCGTCCTGTTGCAGACACGTCGGTTGAGAGGACTGAAGGACGGGAAGGTAGAGATCGGGAAGGACGGGACGGCGAAGGAGACGCGAGGATGAGATACAAGGTGAGACTGCTTCCTCTGTTCCTCATCCGAGTGACACTGAAGGGGACAAGCGTGCCGATAGAGACAGGGCGGGGGGGGATAAGCCAGATTCATGCGTGCCATTGTGCCCGCGACTGTCTCGTCGAGTCCCCATTAAAATTCAACTTGCCCGTTCCTCAGGCCAATTTGGTATCGGCTTTTCCTCCTGCGAGAACGTAAAGCCTCGCGGATTTATTTATCTCGCAGATACGCGATATTCTTGTGTAATCCTGTGATTACGGGCGCGCGCGCGGATACGAGAAACTATTGTGTTATGCGCTTATATATTTTAGAAAATGAGATGCCATCTGTATTCTCGGATTATTTCTTCAGGATACACATCACGATCGTCCCTCAAACATTGATTTTTAGCGTCACGCAAACGCTCAACTTCATCAACTTCATTCGTGGAATTAATGTCACAAATAAAAACTGAATGTATTAATTAATTAATAATTTTATTAATAAGTAGTTAATTAAGTTAGTTAAATATATTAATTAAGTAAATTAAATGAATTAGAACGATTAGTTAAATAAATAATTTAATGAATGAATTAATTAAATTTAATATATTCAGTTTTCCAGCAAATTTCGGATAAAGAAAAGTTTCTTAGGAGTGGCCAGTATGCTTGAGAAGATTCCTCTTATCGCAGTATTATAAAAAAATTTGATGTCGCACATATTAATTATTAATAAAAGCAAAATATTTTAATATTTTTATCTCAGACAGAACAGGTAATACCTGTATTTTTCTTTGTTTCGGGACAAGTTTATTTTAACGGACAAATTTGCTCGAGGAAATAATTATTCGGGTCGTGTGCGAAGACACAGATCGGCGGTGAAACACGCAGTAAAGCGGCGCCGTCAGATAAAATCGTCTCTGAAAGAACTTCGAAGAACGGCGTACTTGAAATTTCATGCAAATCCTATACGTGTTTGTATAATGGTCTCGTTTCGCATTCGTCCCGCATCGAGGAGGAAGCCAACGCTGCCAACGCGCAATTGGAAGTGTGTGATTTATTTAAATTAAATTCTAATTGATGAATGTACGCCTCGAAGGATTATCCCGCATTACCGACGACGCGAATCTTTGTCGCCGAAAGACGCGCGTCTCCTCGTCTTTCGAGAACAACGGACAGGAGATCGAGAAGCTGACTCACGGATCGGAGTCTGCCCGACGGCGGTTTAGTTGATCGGACTTGAAAAAAAAAAGTTTGGTAAAAAAACTTGACGCGTCAAATGGCATAATTACAGGATCGTTCGTAATTTGCAAGTACGGCATCTCCGTTACACCTGTTGACAGTTTCCTTTCCGGTAATCGGATTCTCCCTTCGTCTCGCTTCGCCGTCGGCATCCGCGCGCGTCTCGTTTTTCTCAGCGGCACGCGTGTGCCGAGAGATCGCTGCATAAAACATAAGGCATCTACGCATCCGCCACCTTATCAACGTGCGTGCGATGCGCGAGGTGGGACGATCTATTCCGCGCGAATAGTTACGACCTGTTCCACGCTGATCTTAACATCGCGAATGTGAAAACTGTGGAGAATCGGCGCGATTCGATCTTTGAGGTATAATACAATTGTGATTTATTGTAGAAAGAAGAAATAATCTGAGAATATAAAGGTATAGAGAGTCTTTCGTTTCCCGATAGCGTAAATTGTACGCAAAAATGAGTAAATGTTATTTTATAGGTCTTCTTAACTCAAGAACTGAAACTGTTTGATAAAAATGCATTCATCTGATCTCTTTTTGCCAAAGTTTTCGATCAACTTGCGATTGACTGTCATTCCAGATATTTAGAACCTTACCGTTGCCATATTAAATAAATTTCGTTTCTGCGCGATCATGGATTTTCGATCCGCAATCGATCAATCGGTTTTTTTCCACGATTAAATCCAATTAAGAGGAAAAAGTAAACTGCCGCGTGTTCGATTATACTTCGTTAGAAACCGCAAGTAGTCGAACATTGCTGCAGCCAATTCTGGTTTTCTTACTCTGACGGAAAAAGAGGTCAATCGCGTGCAGGTGAAGGATAATTAAAATAAGACCAGTTACTAACATCGAATATCACATTTTATTCGTGCTCGAGGCAGATAAAGCGATGCCGTTTACGGTGATTATCTATTATCCCCTTTTGCGACATGGCTACGCAGTTCACGCATTTTTTCTTTGTTTTTTTAATCGAACAGTTTCTCCAACTGGAAATGATGATTATAAATAACGCAAGTAAAAAAAATGCACTAATCGAGATTTAAACCACACGATTTTGAAGCTCTTGGCTTTTTCAACGTTTGGACAAATAGTTCACAGATATAATCTTATCAAATTAAGTTCTTTTCCATATAGAACGGTCGTTTATTCTCCATTTCTACCGCTCTTCCAATCCGTTCATCTTGTCTAATTGGCTTTCCCGGCTATCTATGCGATGCGGGGTCGCGCATTGGCCCCGTATGCCGGCGAGATCATCACAGAAGCGATTGTTCCTTCGACGTAGAAGAAAAAAAAGAGGCGGGCGGAAGAAGTGGAGCGGTGCGGACACGATCCGCGAGCGCGCGACCGGGCCGGGTTGAGATTCGCTCGAGAAATTTAAGTCAATGGCAAGAAGAGCACTTGAAGCGAATTTATTCCACGAAGCCCTTCCCCGGAAGCTCGTTAAGCGGCGATTACGCCTCGCGTGTCTCAATCGCAGCGTCAGAAACGTCAAATATCAGTCGCTCAGGGTGATCGATGTATAGGAATAAAAGCGGATTGTGTCATTTAAATCAAATCGGAAACTTTTACTTCGTCAATAACTAATTAACAATAATTAACATAAATATTTTCTGTTTGACCTAACGGGCTATCCTTATTAATTATAATCGTCACGACGTTTCGACTATTTTTGGGTTTTGATCCTTCTCAATCAATGCAACTTTTAATGCTAATATATGTACAAGCATCTTTTTTTTATCATTTACTCCATAGTTTTGGCTAGACCATCAGCTAAACCATCAACTATACTTGCTGCGACGCATATAGTTTAGCCAAAGCCATGAAATCGCAAATCCATCAACGCAAGATCCGAACGAAAGCCAACGTAAATGTAAAGCCAATGTAAATTAGAGATTCGCGGGACCAGGGATCCATGAAACTAATTGTAAGATTTTGCGAAAGTATAAAGAGATTTACAGAAAGCCGAACTTTCCTCGCTTATCTTCTCGCTCGTCCGAGCGAACCGTTCGCTTCGAGGTCGAAAAGCGAGATCGCGGGAATAATTTGTTGCGGGATGGATGCAACTGGCACGATGAAAGAGACGGAGGAAAAAGTGATGTGGCACGTGGAGGTGCCGCGATCGCTGATGCACAGAAGTCACTGACCACCTTCGCTATACGCTACCGTAATTGTATTATCAAGTAATAGGGCGATAATGGGTTTCAAGCAACGGCGGCACTTACGACCTCCCCCCACGTTCGCGTCGCTGAAATAGGATCCTCTCAATAGCGCATTCAGGCGCTCTTTGCGAAAGAGCAGGACGCGCGATGCGCTGTGTACGGACCCCGCGCGTGTCAGTCACTTTTGAAGGTAGCCTGCGCGTCGGCCTACATCTCCCGGCATTGGTAATCGGATGAAAAATAATTTCGCCGCTTAGATTCGTCATTACCCGTTGGATAAAAACCGCGAGTACTATTGAGAATATAATGAGCTTTCCCGAGCGTCGCCGAAGGATTCCTGGGCCTTAGATTCGACTTTGGACACCGTCCATTATTTTCAGACCAACTATGGTACTTCTAAAAAACGTTCAAGTCAGTTTAATATATCTCTCTCTATACAGTTTATTAATGAATTTAATTCCATATAAGTTTATATGTTTATTGTAAATGTTATTATTACTATATAAGTAAACCTGTAAAATATAAATTTCTTCTAGTCAGCCTGAAACATACGGCGACTAAATCAAGAAGTGCCTAAACGGTGTCCAAATTCTTAAATGAAAAATTTTAACCAGGGTGTTGTAGTTTTCTGAAGCGCTACTTCTCAACGTGATATCAGTTTGATATAAAATCAGATGCATCTCCTCGTGAAGAGACAAATAAATGAATGAGATGTTACGGCACGTTCATATGGTGTATCTTTTTCTGTCGTATCTTTTTGCGTAAGGAAACGATTTAAGAGAAATATACAGAGCATTCGTCTCTTCCTCTTACAATTATAGAACAGGCTGCGGACATAAATGAGAATAATGAGACGGTCTCGTCGAGAGACGTCGTAGGAGTATCTCGGCGAAGGGAATTTTTAAGGAGGTTGTAGAGAATCAGAATGTTAGGAATTAAAGTCTAAAGCATAAGCTCTTTTATGAATAATGTCGGAATGTGAATTTTTTTTAGATTTTTTTCACTGGTTAGTTTTCGACAACGTCAAAACAAAGTCCAAAAGATTGTTTAATGTTACTTTCATGTCACGGTAAAAGCTTTATCGTGTAATTCCCTATGTGTGTTTATCCAGCGAAGCATTTGAAACGTACTTAAGATGTGACATAAAAGAAATATTTATTTTATGCTGAGTTTTCGTTGTCCTATTTAAATAAATTTAAATGATACACGTTTTCATACCGATTTATTACTGCGGCTCTGTCGCGATGCAAATTTTAATATTGCAAGAAAATCGTGGTATTTTTTCAAATGTTTGTGAAAGTATTTTCAGTATGGTATTCTTTATATATTAAACATAAATTTATTCCGGTCTTAACATTTTTAACAGTCATTTTTGCCAATAATTGATAGGCAATCTTGAATCTCTCATTAGAGGCCATTAAAACTTGAACTTTAATTGTTATAAATGTTTTCAAAAACTAATTGGAAAAAATCTAAACAATTTATGTTTTAAATTTTATGCAATTCTTAACATTTCTGAGTCTCCTTAACAACCTCCTTAAATTTTGAATTTATATCTACGTATTTAAAATAAATTTTAAACTTGTATACATTTGTACTTATGTATTTATTAAAATATACTTACGGATGGTTTTTACCATGCCGACTTGATCGAGGTATGACAGAAACGTGCAGCGTATGATATACAGATTGAGCGATAGAGACACTCACGTGCCGCATGATGAACGGAGTCAACGCCTCTGATAGCGTCTCACATCTCGTACGTGACGAGCTAGAAAATACCGATAAATAAATACTGTACGGTATATCGTCGTCATAGGTATGCGATGTTTGGAGCTTACTCACGCGACTCGCGGCTGGAATTAATGATCAGAATTAATATGACCAGTGAAGGAGAATGTATGCCGATAAATCAATTCTGTTTGTACCTGAAATTATCAGTAACTGCTGTATTTAGCGTGAAAGTACGAGCCAACCGAGGAATTTTAACAGACCTGTTAGAGTTAGAAATTATTTATTATTACATTGTCATTGCCGTTGATTGAAGTCCATATTTAATGACCTCGCTCAATTTTACTAGCTATCTCATAATTTCGTCGTCTTATTGAGACGATTACGTGGAAGCTATTAATGACAGAATCGTCAAAGATGCGTTTCATTCAGAGCGGAACGTAAGCAGTCAACAACGAGAGACAAATATAGAAAATAGATTCATTATGCGAATGTCGCATTATGGTTTACGCGGAACTGCCTATTGGACTCGACCTCGTCGAGATTTTTTGTTCCTTCGCGTCTATGTGAATTCCGAATGATGACTCGTATTTCTTTTTTAATCACTACAAGGAAGATGCGTAGGTACCTTATTTTGCAGATGTAAAATGCCTTATTTAGCGGTGTAATTATAAAACATGTTTGCAGAGTTAATCTTTTACGATTGAATACTTCAATCTAAAGTATATCTGTCTTTTTCTTCACTAATTTAAAAAATTGTTATTGCATCGCTTTGAATGGTCCGCGCGCAGCAATCCCTATCTTTAAATTTAAAGATTAAAAAAGCTGATGATAAGAGTACATCGTTGATCTCGATTTCACAAGTGAACTCAGCACTCTTTGTTGGAAGAAAAATCCTCCTGCGATTAAGTCTGCGGTTAAGTTTCGATTAAGGCCACCGCGCCTTGTGATCTTTTACTTCCCCGAGTTGCAGTCGAAGCAAATATAGGAAGAGGATTGAATTATGCGCGTCGGGTCCTGGTTGTTTATCGCCTCGCCGTCGCGGGGAGGATTCTATTAGCGCAAAAAGAATTAATTACCACGCGATATCCCGAGAAGCGAGATAAAGGCGAGGGAGATCGGCGCGAGGCTTAGCGTATAATCTTCATCGGCGAGGATTATAATATTCAACTCCCATTGTCAACGATGCGTAGCGAGATCAGAGTCAGTCGCCCGATTGCATCTAAGGACGACAGGAAGAGAGGTATCTTAACGAACGTGAGTTAGTTCGGCGAGTACTTCCCCATCGTCGGAGACGAATTGCGATTCCGTCGATCCATCGCGAGACTCAATGTCAGACGCACCCGCTGATGGAACTCGCATGCGGCTCGACGTTTTTAAACGGTGAAATCTTACGGCGCGCAAGGACGACGCCGTATCGGAAGCGACGTCGATCGGATGACAATTACCGGGCGCGCGCAAGGACGCGCGGATCGGAAGTGGACGGTAAGGCATGATGACAATTGTTGCCGATCCGCGAGTGGCCGTCAGCGCGACAGACGTTCACCGACGAATGTTCATTTTTCTGTCACGTCCTGTTTAAATTTCCGCGATTTTCCGCGCTACCGCGAGGTAAATATTTTACATGAGCGATCGGACGTGGGGGAATAATTGCGACGGCATCAGCGGAATAGGCAGTCTGTGACTGTGCATTTTAAACACCGTTAAGCACAACCATTAAAAATTGGATTGTCGCATTACGACGAGAAGAATAGGAAGAGAAGACGATCGATACAACGCAATTCTGCGCGATTGATGTAAAATATGCAATTGTTCTCCGTACTTGAGATTCTTTATTATTTCTCTTTTTATAATATTTGTGATAAAATCTTTGCGTTATAAAATAGTTAATAATAAAGTATTCAATAGCCACGATTTATCGCTGATATTAATTGACTACTAAATGCGCCAAATGGTACTTTTTTTCCTCTCAGAGATTAAAGAGAAGAAGGAGAAGAGAAATAAACAGAGAGAATAACTAGAAATAACTTGGAATCATGGTGCCTATGGTATCGCAAGAAATCGGTCTGTTTACTCGAACAGAGAGGAGGGAACTAGAATAAAGCAGATACACGATTGCGTAAGGCGTATGGTTCACTTGATAGACAGATGAAAGAAAAAGAGAGAAGAAGAAGAAGAAGAAGACAAGAAAAAGGCGCCGGCGTTTCTCGCGTCAAGCCTGCCGATTCCGATAGGTCGAAGCACATATAATGGGAACGTTGTCAGACGCACGCCGATGTATCCGCGCCGCACGCGGAAAATCGAATTCTCGCCTCTCGACTAAACACGAACACGACTGTTTAATTCCCCGAGGGCTTAGGGCCGATTTCAGCAACGTCAAACAACATCAATCACGTTTGTCTAAATTCACGTTTATCTACGTTGTAATTAACGATGATCCAGAAAGGACTGAATTGAATTGCAACGGAAAGATTGATTGGTCAATTGTAAAATCTATCCTGAACTTTCCCAAATCTTACGATTTTTATTTTAGGATCGCCTCTTTAATGTGCTCTCAAAGAAGTCATAGTCCGGTATTCATAGTCTTCAAGATCGTCTTAAGTAATGTCTTAAGGCGCTAATACGGCTCTGTGATTGGTTCATGACATCTTAAGATTGAACTTAAGACGGTCTTAAATAACTATGAATACCGACATCTTGCAACGTGATTCTGATTTGAGTTAACAATATGACGTATACATATAATGATGGAAAACGTACATTTTGTAAATATATTAAAGTTATATGGGGCGTGCATTAATTACAAACCTAGAAAAAAATGAGACCGTTGGAATTGTCGGCGGTGAAAGGAGTTAATAAAATAATGCGAAACGAAAGGAGACGCGTTAGACACGTGCTTGTTAATGCAATCAAAAGAAAGAGAAGAAAGCCTCACAGACTGACCCATATCGGAGTCGACTGTGTCAACTTTTCATTAATTTTACTTAAGCGTTTCTTTAGCTGAGCACGCATCTGGCGGATAAAGATCCGGCAGATAAAGTACATACGCGAGGAACATTTAGTTGGCCATAATTAATATTAATCGAAGTTGGTGAAGCGGAGAATGACTTGGAATTGGGTTGTCTTAAATCATTACTCGCTTCTGACTGAATCACCGGAATTTTTTTCATTTCTTAACATTATATAGAGTAATCTAGAAGTAAGCGATAAATTCTGAATTCGAAATTGATTAAATTCTTTTTGCTGTGTTATATGACGTTAACGAAGATTATTCTTAACGAGTCTTTGAAGAGCCACGTGTTAAAAATATATAGAGCGCTGTTGTGTCATCGCAGCTTGTTAATCGAAAATAATTTTAGTCAAGTCTATCATTATAGCGTATAATTTACAGTTCAGATTGTAAGGCAGCGATATAAAAATATCTCCTCGATCCAATGGAATTTTTGTACGGCAAGACAATGCGTTCTATAAGATCGTTCTTTCCGACCTGTTTCACGCGCCGTAATTACGAAGAAAGAACGGCTGCAGCACGTAATTTAAATCGGCGTAGGTATCATCCGTCGCGGCGTTAAAACCGCATGATCGATATACTCACCTTGCCCCAGAATCGGCGGGATTAACTTTTCAGTCATGTTATTCTCCTCGTGCCCAATATCCTGCCGCGCATCCGCGGCAGAGATAATCCTCGTCCCATTAAACCCGAAACCGTCGAGAACGCCGCTGTTGCGCGGCAATGAAGCGAAAAATAGATGAAAAGCGAACGCGAGTTTACGTAAGTTACGGTCCAGATTAAACGTCGAAACGCGCGCGGAGAACTATTGTTTGGATGCACACTAGCGCAGATCTGTCAGCACACCACCATTTTAAGTATATTCTATTTTTAAGTATACTCTCTCTCTTTGCCATTGCTTACCTAACGCCTTCGGAAAACAGGGAGAAGATATATTTTCGTCACGCTAACAAAACGGAGAATCCTGTATCTTGCGATGCCAACTATGTATTTTTATCGAAATTGAGTCGATTTATTCACGCTCCCTCCTTCATTTTAATAGATAAATTTTTAATAATTTTTTCCGTAACTTTTTCAGTCTTGATCTATTTTCGCTCTGAAATTTTCTAGTCAGAGATTTTTTTTGTTCCCGATTGGAATGCAATTCAGGAAAACTGAGCTAATCATTCTCAGTGAATCGCTCTCGTATATAGAGTCGCTTCAAGGTCCCTGTGTTACACGAGATGCATCTGTTTTAGTTGCACTTTGATCTCTCGTATTTTCATGGCACGAAGCGCAGAAGTCAAGTCATAAGATATTGCTTCTTTGTTAGATCAAAGTAGCTTTTCACGCGGTGCACTAACATTTCGTTACTTCGGAGTTGAATATAATGTTGCGGATAACGCAACGGCAGGCGCATTCTTCGACCAGACACGCTCGTTAGCATTAATAGAATAAAATGTGAAGAAGTGGACGACAGGCAATTATTGTAAAATATATATCATCATTTCTCTTTTGAAGGTGAACGACCCGGAGGATAATGAGAGAGACACGGTGGAGAACGCGAAAGGAAACTCGGACGTCCCCTGGTAATAAGCGTTTCCTTTGCTTGATAAAAAAGAATCGATAACATTTTCTTATTTCTTACTTTCAGTTTTTTTATTTCTTATTCCTCTCACTTTACATTACTAACTAATTAGTTTCTTGTATATTCTTTTGAAACGTGTCTATTAAATATAAGATTATCTTTAAATACTGTGCTTTACATTTTTCTGAATCTTCTAAAGATTCTATGCTCGTTGAAACAATTGTCTATTTAGAGATTTTCCTTCTTTCTTTCCTTTCTATAATACGTGTTTGTTGTAATTTAATTTTCGTGATTGGGTAATTTTTAAGTAGTATAGATCAACGAGAAAGGCGCGTGTCCGAATATCGATTTGAAAATAAAAGTCAAACAGTTTTCGAGATATCTTTTTCTTTTTAAAATATATTTGCATATTTTGCACTTGTTAATCTTTCTTATGCATTTTGATAAAAGACAACAAATGACGGTAGAATATTTTTACATACTGTAGTTCAACGTGAAAAGCAGAAAGTAAGAATCTTTGTGTACCGATTTGAAAAGCTAAACGATTTTCAAGTTATGTTGTAAGTTATGTTTTCACTCATCTTTATCGTTGGAATCTTCCCATTGTCTTTTTGACAGGGATTACAATCAACGGGATGAGAAGAAATCGAGCGGGAAGGAGTTGCGGCTCGTAATCGTCGTCGGATTGTTAGCGGTGACCGTTATCGCTCTTATCGTAGCACTAACTTTGCAGATGGCGATTTTTCGCAAAGAAGAGTACAAGGAGATGTGCCAGAGCGAGGAGTGCATTAGGACAGGTATCGTTTGTACACCTCGTTATATATATTTTCGGAAAATAACAATCGGTCTAATTCTCAATTTGAAAGGTAGTGCCAAGACGATTTGTTTTGCTCAGATTACGCTGAAATGTAAGGTAATTTTACAATAAATTTTTACAATTATTGTAAAAATATTTTTATCGTTATAGCGGCACGAGTGATAGGCGCGATGAACAGGTCCGTGGATCCTTGCCAGGATTTCTACAACTTCGCCTGCGGCGGCTGGATCAACAAGCATCCGATTCCTCAAAGTCAGAGTTTCTGGGATCAGCTGAGCTTGCTCAGGGAGGAACTTCTGAAGAACTTAAGGATTTTACTTGAGGAACCGGATGAGGAAACCGATCTCAAGCCGGTGAAGATGGCGAAAGCTCTTTACAGGACCTGCATGGATGTCGGTAAGTCTTTAACAATTAAAGCATCAACTTGGTGAAATATCTTGAAAACCAAAATTTCAAGAAATTCGCAGGGAAAATTTTAGTTACATAAATATTATTGAATAATTATAAAGATTTTTCATCGAGAAATTTACCGAACTTATAAAATACACAAATAATAGGCTTATGAATTGCAATTTCTTAGAATAATTTCAAAAAGATAAACCAACATAGGAAGGTTGTAAATTAGTCTTTAATTGAGAAGCCATATATCAAGTCACGAAGCGTTTCTCGAAGGTGAGGAAAAGGAACGATAATTATCCACGCGAACCAATTTTCTGTCAAGATTCTCTATCGTTAACTCTGGTAATTTGCCTACTTCAACGATAAATTATTCATTAATTGTCGCTCTTTCGTGCGAAGGATAGAATGCGCGTAACGGCATTTACATAAGCGTAAATTCGAAAGAATATAAACTTATCTAACAATACGTTGGCGGTCGCATTGCGACGTATCATTATTGCGCCAATAACGTAATCAGTAATAACGTAATAGGATAAAGTGACTACTTTATTATCGCGAAGAAGTAACCGGATCTCGTGCCTGATTTCGAACGACGATTGCGACCATGATAAGCGTGCAAATGATTTAAATAGAAACAACGATCGCATATTTAATTTCCGCAGAAAATGTAAATAGAAGTAGCGTTACGTATAACTCTTAAACCAGGCTGCAAAACGTTTATCTGCAGCCTTGATGATAGAATGTATTTTAAAATAACGGGAAATCATCGGATTGCAGCGAGTGTCGAAGCTCTAGGATTGGAACCCATCTTCGAGGTGCTCAATAGTCTAGGTTTGCCAAAGGAGCCGCCGATGCAGGGTAAAATACCATCTCTCGACATATCGAGGATAGCTGGGATAGGGCAGCGAACGCTAGGCTTGAGTCTCTTCATCAATTTTTACATTAGCGAGGACGTTAAGGACACTACGAGGAATCGGATGATGGTGAGAATGCCAGCGCGTTCAAAATGCCACGAATTTTAATGAAAAAAAAATTGAAAGAGAAAACAAAAGATTGTTCAACAATAAAAAGACATAATTTTGCAAATGCAAAATTCAAAGAAATGGAGAACCTTCTTTTATTTAATTTAAATAAACAGATTTTTTGTACATAAATTAAAGGGATATTAATTTATAAGATATTTTAATATTCTTTAAAATTTCATTAAAATTATATTTCTGGTATCTTAATCTTAGTAATATAATCCCATTTTTAACTTTACTAAAAATAAAGGAAAACGTTAGTTATATGTCCTTTTTAAGTAATTTAATTTGATATTTCTTATTATAATTGAGCTGACATAACTAACTATTCTTCGCTAGAAAATAATTCTTTAGCATGGATAGTGACGAAGTACAGAAAACGAAACTCTTTTAGATGGAGCAAGTATCCCCCGGATTTAGCGAGCGTTACTTATTAGATCCGCGGCGTTTTCAATCGGAACTGATGGAGTATAAAAAGTACATAAAATCCATGGTCGAACTGGCGGGAGCTGGCAACATGAGTGCGAATTACGCTAATGAGATTTTAGAATTCGGCACGAAACTCGCCAGGGTAAGTAGCAAATTCGTATGGTTTGTATCGAACACTCGCGATTTTAATTCTTCACATATCTATTCCAAGCTGTACCATGGTATCCTACGTGTTAATTTTTTATGTACATCTTTTTTTTATAGAAGATACATTATTATTTTAGATATCTTAAAGTGCAGCGTACTTGAGATTGCCTATTCAATATTAATTAATAACAAATTGAATTTTAGTAATTAATCTTTTGTTTTTAATTTTAATAAAGTTTTGATACTCGGTTGAATGGTTCAGCTCTGTCTTACTCAACTTCCGATGTGAGGATAATCGTTTTCAGGAATACGTTTAATTCTTTTGAAATCCGTCCAGATCATGGCGACAAACGAGGAACGGCGCAGTTCGGATCATCTCCTTCACGAGGTGACGATCGACGACCTGCAAAAACTCACCGATATACACGCGCAGCAGGTAACATCGACATCTCTATTTTTTTCTTTGCGTAAGCGTAAGAATATTTATGCACCGTTCAAGGTGAACGACCGGTTAAATCAATATGAGATAGCGTCCGCGTAATTTACATTTTAGTGGAAAATTTGGAACCACATAATTCTTATCGAAATTCCAATTAAGATGAGATCCGCTCCAAGAGTTCCGCCAATGAATGAAGTAATATTTAAAAACTTGCAAAATTATTACCGGATAATACTAAAGATATTAAAGTTTCATCGCGACTTAATATTTGAAGCATCAATTACAATTTTTGTATAAATTTGCTTATTCGCGTTTTGTTCATGATTGTTTTATTTAATCTTCTTACAAATTTATCTCCCTAATTTGAGTCGAGGGTTGTCAGAAACGGGAGCGAGATATGAATCTTACTTTTAATGCGAGTAATTAACGAGACGCTGTTTCAGTGGAATTGGACGAGATACGTGGAGGCTGTGTTCGAGAATACGAACGTCACGATAAATCCGGCCGAGGATCGAGTTATCATCGTGGACCTGCAGTATTTGCAGAAATTGCCGCTGCTGCTGTCCATCACCCCGCCCGCCACGATAGGTACGTCCAATTTCGCACCCTCGTCAATGCGAACACGATTGTCACTTGGCGTGATGCGTGCTCGCTCAACCTGCATCGCATATTGTTGCTTTTCCACTTACGTCCATTTACATAAGAGAAGAGAGAAAAAAGAGAGAGAGAGCTACGTGATGCGAAACATTCCTCTTTGTGTTCGAGTGATTTTCGCAACGTGATTTTCATTTATCTCTCTCCCATATAATAATTATTGATAGTAGTAAATTGATAAAAGTGACAAACAATAAATTATATCAGCGCGAAAAAGAGAAGAAGCCTCGAGTCCCTGGTGAAAAAATTTCTCATATTTTCTCAGAAACTTTCTACGAATTTCTTTCTCGTATTCTAGATTTATAAAAAATTATGTGATTTTAGATTTATGAACAATATATAAAATTTATCAAAATACCTTCAGAAATAATTGAATGAGGAATATTTCAGTATTACAGTATATATGAAAAGTTCTGATAAATATTGCGTGGATTTTCTCATATTTATTCTAAGATGTTGGCGAGAAAAATCTGAAAAATTCTGAGAAAGTTTTAAAATTTTTATAGAAATTTTGATTAAATAATATGAAAAATTTAAGACATTTTTCTACCAGGGGTGCTTTCGTGTAAATCACGTTGCGATACGCAAAGCTTCCTTAAGTTTCTCCTCTGACTCGATTACAAGCATATCTTCCAAATATCGTTCCAAAATCCAAATACCAAAGATCGTTGAAGCAACGAAGACGCTTGGAAGTGTCGATAATCCATGACGGATAATATCGGGTGTTTCTACGCCCGGGGGGAAAGGAAAAGAATGGCGAGAAGGGGTCAGAAGCTATCGAAAGCTGCACCGTATCTGTAGAAATAAGTACGCGATTGTTTCGCCGCGTTTGAAACGGCTGACGGCGATTACGCGCCGATAAACAACGCGAGACGATAAATAACATGTTAACGTCGAGCCGATTTTTCAGTGCGATACGTCTGGTGGAGCGTGTACGCGACCGTTGCCCCTCTGACGCTGCAGAAGTTCCGCGATCTCGGCTTCCAGTTCTCGCAGAAGATCTTCGGCCTGAAGGAGAAGACGCCGCGCTGGAAGGGATGCACCGGGAACGTCAACGGGAATTTCGGCATGGCGTTGAGCTACATTTATGCACAAAGGCACTTCAACGAACAGGCACGAGAAAAGGTTCGCGATAGTATGTGCGGCGATTAGTAGCCCTGAAATATTCCACGGCGGAGGTCGGCAAACCGCGACCCAGCACCTGTTTTTTTACAGCTAAAATATGATAGGGTAGGGAGGGGCTTTTGGAGTCACGGGCTCCAGTTATATTCTGCATTAATTTATTAATTTTTATTATTAAGACCGATTCATTGTTCTTACACGTTTCAATTGCCCTCCCCAGAGTTCTTTCAAGATTTTTAGATGTCTTGGAAATTTTTTATTTGACTTTTTCTTTAACTGACTTAAACATAGCCTCTCCCTATAATAATAAATACATATCTAGTAATATAGTAATAAAATAAATAATAAATTAAAATAAATAATAAATTATTTATTTTATTACGCTAATAATGTGTTTCATTTTATTATATTAGTAACAATATTGTTATTATTATTAACTTTAATTTCGTCGATAACAAATTTGTGGAAGTTTTTATTTTCTCTCTTGTTAAATAACTATATACGTAATATCTTTTTGGCCTACAAAGTTTGACATTTAATATCTCGCTCTTTACTACCTGGTCGGGAAATGTGATTTTCCGACCCCTAATCTACGAGATATCCTAAATTCGAGCTTTATTCGTTATTCAATATTTTCCTAACGAACGTGAGATTATCGTTATACCTATAAGTGATTGATCACTGTTTATCATTGTCGATAGGCATTGGAGATGCTGCTGGATATCAGGGCGGCGTTCGACGAGATGGTCACGGAGCTGGACTGGATGGATGCCGGCACGAGAGCTCGAGCCCATAGAAAATTGCAGGCGATGAGGCCGTTCGTAGGATTTCCCGACTGGGTCACGAATCCAGAGGAGTTAGACAAGTTTTACGAAGGGGTGAGTTCTCTCTAAATATCGCGTGTTTGCGTATGATTACGAATTACATCTACATTCCAATCCAGCTGTGGAAACTGCAATGTCCGGTCTGTTTAGGTGGAGGTGATCGACGGGAAGCTGTTCGCGACCTTTCTGAAGCTAACTGACGTGGCGATGAAAAAAAGCTTTAATAATTTGCGCGAGAAGCCCGACAGGAGCAGATGGATATCGACAGGCACGACAGTGAACGCATTTTACAGCGCGATATTAAACTCAGTCAGTAAGTGTCTTTTCTTTTTAATGCTAATTTTCTAATTAACCAAAATAAATTTCCTAATTAACATAATCATCATTGTCGCTTTACAATATACCAATTTAATTTAATCGTTCAGAATGTAAAAAGAATGTGTGATCTTAGCTTTTCCAGCCGGCATCCTGCATCCTCCGTTTTACGGCAACGGATTGGAGTACGTATAAGAACGTTTTACAGATACGGCAAAATTTTCATGAACTCATATTTTACTTCATCAGTTCTTTATTTGCAATAGTCCTAATTATTATGTACATTACTTAATAAAATTCTGATATGGCAGTCGTATTCTATTTTTGAGAAACTTGTAGATTTTAAAATATAATAAAATGCACAAAAATTGTAATTGAGACTTGCCTGATGGAAAATTTATTTGTTTTCTGATACATACGTATTGACTTATTACCGCAATTTACTTATTAAAGTGCTGTAGATTTTAATTAAAGACGCAAAGATATGAGCTCGCGAAAAACAAAGTGATATCTACGTGCGACTCGTTATCGTAAATCGCTAAGCTCCAACATTGCGCGTTGCAGGTCCATCAATTACGGTGCTATGGGGGCGATTATGGGCCACGAACTTACCCACGGTTTCGACGACCAAGGTGCGTGATCGGCGATGCGACGTGTGTTACGTAATATCGTTAAAACGGCCACTCGTCCGTCTTTATCTCTTTACGTTGCCCGCATATCCGCAATAATATCTGGAATTACATGATTTTCTGTGTCAGGACGCCGGTACGACGAGAACGGCAATCTACGGCAGTGGTGGAGCGATGAGACGTTGCGACACTATCACGAGAAAGTGCAATGTATAATCGAGCAGTACAGCAGTTATCATTTGCCGGAGTTGGGTGATAATTTCACGGTGAGCCTCGCACGGTAGCAACGTGCCCATTTTATTCATTGAAAGCACAGAGGGAGAGAGAGAAGCGTGCCAAGGCATATCTCTTGCTCGTATGCTCAACCATTCGACTCACCGTCTGACTTTCAGGTGAACGGTATCAACACCCAGGGTGAAAATATTGCCGACAACGGCGGCATCAGGGAAGCTTACAGAGCGTATCAGAGGCTGATTACACGCAGTCCGTACCAGCAAGCCCTCCCTGGTCTTGTCGACTACAGCAACGAGCAACTGTTCTTCTTAGGTTTTGCACAGGTAAAAAGAAGAAAAAATTAATTAAATTTTGTCCAATAAATATTAAAATTTTAGCGTCTGGTAAAAGAATCATACGATCAGAGCTTCTTTTCTTCTGAGAAAGTAATTTATTTAACAGTACTCTAAACTGATTGTGAGTATATTTAAATAGCAATAAAACTTAATGCTGCATATTTATCATATATTTAATATATTACATTGTATACAATTAAAAATGAAGAGAAAAAAGATCGTTTTACATATTGTTACCTAAATACGTTACAAAAACTATGTACATGTATGGGCGAGATTTATAAAATTTTAAAATCATTGAAATGGCGATTTTTCTCTTGTCAAACTAGCGAGAAATTATTTATAATAAAAATCTACGTAGGTATAAATTAAAATCGCAAAGAGCTCCAAATCGCAAATGAGAACTTCGTAGCTCTTTTCTGCGTGTAAAGCTTTTTTTACAAGATTGAGTCGTAAACGTTAATCTTTTTTAAGGTCTGGTGCGGCAATTATACAAACGGAGCGTTGAAGTCCAAAGTGATAGAAGGTGTCCATGCGCCAAATCATTTTCGAGTTATCGGCACGCTGTCGAACAACGCGGAGTTCGCAAAGGCCTGGAAGTGCCCGCTCGGTAGTCCAATGAACCCGTCGCACAAGTGCATCTTGTGGTAGACATCCTTCGCATTATTTCGAGCGGTATGAAACGTAACGACGCCTAAAAAACTGTTATCTCGTTCAGGTTTAATCTCTCGTGACAGAAGAAGGCGTTGGTGCAGTGATAAATCTAAGAAATTGTAAATAGACTGATTTATAATTATAAGAACCTAGTGAGTAATTTATTAAGCACCTAGGCGCTCTATTCTTACTCTTAAGCTTATCATGTAAATATCACACGATGAAAAAAAAAAAATAACTTTTGTAAAGAGACTCCTCTCGCGCAATTGAATCCTAATTTATCCCATTATTTTCTTCTTTTTCTTTTTTGGCACGACTCCTTTTTCCGCATTTACTTTTTTCTTTATCTTCCTAGGTGGAGCATCTTCGACATCCGTCGTTGGTAATTTTACTTTGTGTTTCTTGCGAGGGAGAGGTGGCTCTTCAACTTTATTCGACTTTTTAACCTTCTTCGCTGGCGAAGTGACCTGTGATGCAGCACTATTCTCTTTTCGTTTTTTATTAGAAGGATTTGTCTCATTCGCTTTTAAGAGTTTCTTCTTTTTAGGTTTGTCGACGATATCTTCCATCTCAGACGACCTGTCTCTCTTCTTTTTTGAAATAATAGCCTTTTTCACATTTGGAGCTTTCTTTTTCGAATGCTGGACACTGTCTTCAGTATCTTCTATAGCTCTCTTCTTTTCATTTTTCTTTTCTTGTGCTTTTTCTTTAGGATTTCTAATACTTGCGGCTTCTAAATCCTCTTCGTTCTCAATAATAACTTCCTGCTTCAGTCTGAGCCTGTTCTCCTTTTTCGTTTCCTCTTCTTCCTTCGATTCAACTTCTTTCCGCACTAAATCTTTGTAGGTGTGTGCCAAAGAGAGGCAAGTAATTCTAGCGCCGCAATTAACGGTTTGCAACATATCCAAACTGTGTTTATTATATCGCCAAAGCTTGATCTCTCCGGAGCTGGAGGCGCTGACCAACAGATCGTTCATATGCGCGATACATTTCACCCTCATGCTGTGCGCCTTCGTGTTCATCGTATGCAGGGAAGTTTTAAGGTCACAAAATTTTATATCTCCGTTCTCGAAGCCGACCGCGATTAAATCATCCTTCAGGAACTCGACGCAAATGACCTTCGAGTCAAACGTGAGCTCCCTATCTATCCCGGCCGATTCCACAGAATAAATGTAGATATTTCCGTTGACAGCCAACAGATACTTTTCACCGCTCGGACTCCATTTGATAACGGTTATCCATTTGGCGTTAGACTTCAGTCTCGGTACCAAGTTAGTGGCGTAAGCCTGCCTGCCCTTGATCAGATTCCACGTCCTAAGCACGCCGTCCTCCCCGGAGGACAGCGCTAGCTTCCCGGTCGGATGAATGGCCAGAGTGTTGACGGCGGTGCCTTTGTGCGCGGTCGGCCAGATCTTCTCCAGCTGCCAATTGCCGCAATGTACGGCGGTTATGCTACCGTCGTTGCTACATGCGAACAGATGGGAGCCTTCTGGAGTAAACGCGAGGCAATTGACGGTATCTGCAAAGGAAATACAAAGATTGTTACTTTTTAAATAAAAATTTATATAATTACATTGAATTATATGTGCGAATCATAGAGTGCGTTCAATCTGTGTACCTTTGTGATGCATCAATTTGCCGGACTCCCGTCTGTAACGCATGTCGTACAGACATACCGTTTCATCTGCGCCAGCTGACGCTAGGTGATATTTACTGCTGGCGACAGTGCGTATGCTTGCGACATGGCTGTGGGTCGCAAAGCTTTTCTCTATTTTGTATTCCTATGGACAGAAAGAAAAAAAAATAAATTCTTAATCTAAAATATTCATATTTAAAGAATTAATGTAAAAGTTTCTCGTTTGAACTTTGATTGAAGATACGCCTTTTCTTCTATCTATCGAATAATCATTGAATCTTCCAGAGCAACAAATATATAAATGATATGAAGGAACAAACGTGTAAATATGACTAGAAGCATCCTTCTTTGACATATCTCGACTTTTGTGTCACGCTTCACCCATACCATATAAAAACCTAACCTGTACACGAGGCACGTGTCGAAATATACTCACATTTACGATGTTGTGCACTTTGTAGCCAAGTAAATATTGCTCGTACGTCCCTACTATGATTTCGAACGGATTCGACAATCTCTGTGCGTCTGAGTGCATCTTCTTTCAGCGTTTCACTTGCACCGCATCAATAGAACGAGCGCACCCACACGTGCGCGGACGAGACTCCATTACTCCGCTCCGATTCCATTGCAGCAGACGCAGACGCCGCTGTCGCCGCTTCGAAGAGTTCGAAGCTTCGCCGCGTTCTATTATTCCTTTTTCTAATCGGTTCGAGTATGATAATCACCGGCACGAGTAAATGTCACGTTGCACGGGAAAAGATAATTTGTTAAACAACAGTCACGTCACGTTAATCAAATAAAATTCCCGCCGATTGCATCTCCCTCGAAAATATAATAATATGGTATACATAATAAAACAGAACGTAAAAAATATGGTATGATAATAATAATAATATGAAAATAATTTTATTTTTAATTAATTTTATTTTTTCGAACTGTTATTTTAAATTTTAAGTAATTATATTTTAATTCGTAGATTAGATTATAATGACGTTATAAAATCAGGATAAGAGAAAGATATTTCGCCTTTTAAACGACATTTTGCAGGAGATTCAAATAGAGAGAAGGTGCAATTTTAGTTTAGCCGAGTCTAGCACATATTTATGTACTTATTATTTTTTCCTTGCCTAAATTGAGCTGGCAGATGTTGTCAGACTAGCTTCGAATAAAATCTCTGAACTGGGCAAAATGTAACGTTGGAAAGAGCGATGAAAAATATAATAGCCTCTTTCGAGATATTTTCGTTGAGAAACATTTGAAAATTATATTACACGTTAACGTTTAAATAAATTAATTAACGTCCGTATTTAATATTATATATTTGGAACAACGTACAGGACAGATCTTTCTGTGAAAATAATTTTCATAATTATCTTCAGGCAGATATTGTTGATATCGCGCGACGCGATAAACTTGCGACACAAATATTTACGTAAGACGATAAGAAGCAAGCAATATGTTTACATATTTGAGACGTAACGCTTCAAGAATATCGTCCAGTCAGTTTCTCGTTGTCATTGTCGTTTTAGAAGTGTTCGGTGCAATTTAGGAAAATGGAAGCCAGACGTATCGCCGCTGAGAAGGAAAAAAGAATGAAGGCCAAAATTACTACTATCGATGTGAAGGATATAAGGTTTCCGACATCGTTAAATCGTGATGGAAGCGATGCAATGGTACACTTTATTAAATAATTTGCATAAAGACATGCTCGCTGCTAGCGAGCATGTCATTCTGGCAAATCAGCATATGCATTTATAACATGTAAATTACCTAATTTGTTAATATAATAAATTATTAAGATAAATATTAATAGCAATTAATGAATCTAATAGTAAATAAATATTAATTAAGGTAACATTTTATAGATTGCACGTTAAACTAATTATTATTAATTTTCTTAAATGATGTTAGTCAAGCTCATTTACATGTTTAACATATGTATACTCTCAAGATTATATTTGATCTTCATTTATAATAACAGCATACCGATCCTGATTACTCTTGCGTGTATGTAACAATTAAAACAAACAAAAAAGGATGTGAAGGATATGGTCTTACGTTTACCTTGGGAAGAGGAACTGAAATCGGTATTTTATATATTAATATATATTATTGATACTTCTCAGTTACATACGCGCTATACCAATAATAATAATAATTTTTGTAGTTGTACAAGCATGTAACGCTCTAGCCAAGATCGTGTTGAATCGGAAACTAAAATGGATTTACAAGGATTTTGCTAATTTTTGGAGACGTTTAACGAGCGACTCGCAACTGCGATGGGTAACGTATAACGAAGAGTGACATAATAATTAAAATATGACGATTACCGGGATATAATTTCGATGTTTTAGGTCGGACCGGAGAAAGGTGTGATACACCTAGCTACAGCAGCTATTGTAAACGCATTGTGGGACTTGTGGGCGCGTGTCGAGGAAAAACCTGTCTGGATGCTTCTTTCGGACATGTCACCCGAGGAACTCGTTTCCGTCATAGACTTCAGATACGTGTAAGCCGAAATTTTTTGTAAACCAAAGTGCAGAGTTAAATTCTCGCTCATGACACAATTCTGTGTACGCATTTCTATATGCAGTAAAGACATAGTGGACGAGAAGATCGCGATAAAAATACTTGAGGAAAAAATGAAACTTAGGCAAGAACAAAAAAATAAGCTGCAAAAGAACGGATATCCCGCGTACACCACTCAAGTCGGATGGCTGGGCTACAGCGATGACAAGCTCAAGGATCTTTGCAAGAGCTTTCTGGACTCCGGTTACACGGCGTTCAAGATCAAAGTGGGCCAGGATCTGCAGAACGACATTAAAAGGTGCGAGATTATACGCGAGGCGATAGGCGATGAGAACAAATTGATGATGGACGCGAACCAGGTGTGGGACGTGAACGAGGCGATCGAGTGGATGAAGGAGCTGAGGAAGTTTAAACCCATCTGGATAGAGGAACCGACGTCACCCGACGATGTCTTCGGACACGCTCAGATTCTCAAAGAATTAAAGCCGTACAATATCGGAGTGGCCACCGGCGAGATGTGCGCGAATCGCGTTATGTTCAAGCAGTTCCTGAAACACCACGCGATCAACTATTGCCAGGTCGATTCGGCGAGGATCGGCGGGATTAACGAGCTCCTGGCTGTGTACTTAATGGCATACATAACTAAAAGTAATAAGTTTACTATCGATAATTTAAATCTATAGACTTGATCTTTCCATTTTCAAACAACAGAATTACGAATCCATAATCAATTTCTATTTAAAAGAAAACAAAATGCGAAGTGGAAAATTTTTTATTTATTTACAGTACCAGTTTGTCCGCATGCCGGTGGAGTAGGTTTGTGCGAGATGGTTCAGCACCTCCAAATGTGGGACTACGTTTGCTTAAGTCAGACCACTGAAAATCGTATGATAGAATACGTGGACCAGCAGCACGAGCACTTCGAGGATCCCGTTCGCATTAGGAATGCGCATTACATGCCGCCCGAGCGTCCTGGATACTCGACTAAACTTAAAGAAGAGACCATCTCAGAGTACGCCTATCCAGATGGCAATTATTGGAAAAACAAGATTGCTAAAGAAAAAGAAACTGAGGAAAGAGATGATTA